GATCCACCCACCTTGGCCTCCCAAAGTGCTGGGATTACAGCGGGCTAGAGCACAGTGGTGTGATCTCGGCTCACTGCAACCTCTGCCTCCCGGGTTCGAGTGATTCTCCTGCCTCAGTCTCCAGAGTAGCTGGGACTACAGGCACACTCCACCATGCCCAGATAATGTTTGTATTTTTAGTAGAGACAGGGTTTTACCATGTTGGCCAGGATGGTCTCGATCTCTTGACCTCATGATCCGCCTGCCTCGGCCTTCCAAAGTGCTTGGATGATTACAGGCGTGAGCCACCATGCCTGGCCCCGCCTTTTTTTTTTTTTTTAACCAACCTCTTCCCATATCCCCATCTCTGCTACACTCCCTAGCCTTTGGTGTCTACTATTCTACTCCACTTCTGTGCATTATAATGAAGAAAAAAGCAGGTGGTGGCTCGCACTTGTAATCCCAGGGCTTTGGGAGGCTGAGGCGGGAGGATCACTTAAACCAGAGAGTTTGAGACCAGCCTGGGCAGCAAAGTGAGACCTCATCTCTACTAAAAATTAAAAAAATTTAAAAGGCCAGGTACAGTGACTCACGCCTGTAATCCAAGCACTTTGGGAGGCCGAGGCGGGTGGATCACAACGTCAGGAGATCGAGACCATCCTGGCTAACATGGTGAAACCCCATCTCTACCAAAAATACAAAAAATTAACTGGGCATAGCGGCAGGCACCTGTAGTCCCAGCTACTCGGGAGGCTGAGGCAGAAGAATGGCGTGAACCCAGGAGGTGGAGCTTGCAGTGAGCCGAGACTGTGCTACTGCACACCAGCCTGGGCGACAGAGCAAGACTCCATCTCAAAAAAAAAAAAAAAAAAAAAAAATAGCCAGGTACAATGGCATGCACCTGTAGTCCCAACTGCACGGGAGGCTGAGGCAGGAGGATCCCTTGAACCCAAGAATTAGGGTGCAGTGAGCTGTAACTGTGCCACTGCATTCCAACCTGGATGACAGAATGAGACCGTCTCAAAAAACAAAAACGAACAAACAAAAAAAACAACTTCAGGTTTTTCAAGGACAGGAAGAAAGTTATCAAAAGACAGCAAAGAAGAAAAATACCCTAGAAAATAAATTTACTTTTCACCTTACAAGAAAATTCAGTCAAGACAACAACTCTGCTTAACAGAAAACAACATTCTAGAGTTTTAGAGGTGAATGGGATTTCACGGGTTTCCTAGATCTGTATTTTCACCTTATGGAAAAGAACAATGAGATCCAGGTGGTAAAGAGACTTGCCAAGGGTTATCTAGCAATTTAGCTGGCAGCACAGGGATTATCTTCTAATTTGCTGTAAGTTTAGGAACTAAGCAACGAAGCTTATCTGCAAGTCTAAAAATAAATATAAACAGGCCATTTAAGAGGCTGGGCAGGGGCGTGGTGGCGCACACCTGTAATCCCAGCTACTCAGGAGGCTGAGGCAGTGAGAATCACTTGAACCCAGGAGGCGGAGGTTGCAGTGAGCCAAGATCGTGTCATTGCATTCCAGCCTGGGCAACAGGGCGAGACTTCATCTCAAAAAAAAAAAAAAAGAAGCTAGGTAGGACCCTTCTTTAAGCAGAGAGCATGATTTGGAACCTGGACTTTGTTACAGGTTCTTGTTGTTATTGCCTCACTTCCTGCTTCTTGGCTGGGTTCCTCATTAACTGATGAGGTTGCCCAACAGAAGGGCTCTAGATAGGTGATGTATTAGCAGTACAGTTAATTACATGCTAAGAGAAAATGACTATCTTTGGCTTTATTACAAAATTACCCTCTACATCAATTTTGCTCTTATTTTCAAGAGTTTCCTTTATTTTTAAGAGAAGGTTCAACCAAATTATAGAATCATAGCCTTTCGGAGAAAGGAAGTGACAGCAAACTTACCTGTTAAAAAAAAAAAAAGAAAATCATGAAAAGGTAGGTCACAGCTCACCCACTGGGATGACCACAGGGGTGCAGGTGTTAAAGCAGAGGCTGCTCAGATCAGTAAATGTGCATAGTTTATGCCAATGCCCCCTCATACCTTGCTGTCCAAAAGAAGGTTGTCTGGTTTGATGTCTCTATGGATGAATCCAAGTTGGTGAATAGAGTCTATGGCTAACACTGTTTCTGCTATATAAAACTGAGTCTCCTCTTCTGTCAGAGTGTCTTTTTTCATCAACAAGGTCATCATATCCCCTGGAAACAAGAAGATACAAAGCCACCACACATACACACACACACACACACACACACACAAACAACGTACGAGTGAGTACCAATTTTCAGATATGTCTTCCCTATCTGCCAACATAAGGCAGCTACACAGACCTCTTCTGTGTACCACAGATAGACTCACATTGCCAACATGGGAAGAAATGGGATTTTCACACCTAAGCTAGCTAAAGTTGACCACTAATGTATGATTTGTATTTTACTCTTGAGAGAAAAAGAAAATTTCTTCCCACACTTTAAAAAACAACTATATTTGCTTAGGATAATTTTTTGGACTCGGGGTAAAAAGCTACTTTACTTTTCACTTTGCCTGAACAAATATCTGCAAGCTTTTCTACATCTATAACTAAATGGCACTTCCACATAGATTGTATTGCCATTGTTATAGAGAGGCTGAAATGCCAAATAAAAATGTAAACACTTGGGGAGGCTGAAAACAAGCTTTCCAACTTCTATTCACAGAACACAAACAAATAAAAAGGAGGGACTTGGGTAGCAAAGCATTAGTCAACAAAAGCTAAAAATGAACTGAAAATGCTATACACTACAATGTGCAATAACTGCCTCCTAGAAGAGTACAATGGACATCCCTCAAGGTCAGTTTTTTTTTTTTTTTCCCTCTAGTGTGTTATTATAGGTATTTAAATGGACACCAGTACCCTTTATGTAACTTTTAAAACACAGTATCGGTATTCTAGCAGTTAAAAGGTAACCTCGTTAGCTTTCTGCAAAGTCAAAATTTCATCATTTCTGTCTAATACCAGCAACATAAAATGGCAGAGAAATATTCAGATCCTAACTCAACAGTGAGAAACACAAAGAAAATATGTATAAGGAGTTTAAAACTAAGAGAAACAGGATTCAGTTTAGACCTCACATAAAACCACTTAGGTTAGAAAACAAGGAAAAGAGAAAGAAACCTCTGATTTTAACAGAGCATCATGCTGCTTTTTCAATTTCATTTCATTTAGAACATTATGTTTTTTATTACTGGAGAAAAGTAGCTATTTTTCCCTCAGGCAAAAATTAAACCATTTATTAAAGTGCTCTTTTTCAGTCCAAGACATAAAAAATATGATTCCCTAATCACTCCTGGCAGCCCTTCAATCTGGAGTCCCACCAGACACATGGAGACAGTGCACTTGGGCTGCTACCCGAGTAAGGTAGCTATATGGCCTTAGTTCTGTGACTCAGGAGAGTAGCCAATGGGGCCTCACCTGTGCAAGTTTGCCCAGATGATTGGGAAGCTCAGGCCAGATGCTCTATGGCTCTGGAGGCTAGCTCCACCAAGTGCAAAGGGCAGGGTCCAGGAGACATGAGAAGCTACGGAAGATGGTACAGGTTAAGTCTTGAGGACACGTTAGGAGCTGGTAACCAAGTTGGCTCTTACTCCAATTTAAGAACTAGCATCTAAATGTTAAAAAAGTTTCTCCTCATTCTACCAGACTCTTTTCTAACATTAATCAACTGTTTATTTTTTATTAAATGTATTAAATATTAAAAAGTATTGATGACCCTAAATCTAAGGGTTGTCACAAAATCAAAATATTATGCCACAATATAATTATTGTGGAAAAGGTTCTCTTTTTTTTTTTCCCATCAGAGTTTGCTCAGAGTTCATCTGCTCACTGGGAAACAGACTGCTTTCCTCAGAACAGATGGCATGTTCTGTTCTGGGTTTACTTTGGAGCTGTCTTAGATGTTCGTGCTGAGTTACTAAAACTTAAAATTTCAGAAATGAGAAATTGATTCTGGCTACTAATATAGGTAATAAAAAATTCACTCCTTATTAATATGCTATACAAAAAGAAACAAAAAGTTGGAGCAAATAATGTTATAGCTTCAATGTTGCCACTTGGGTTATTGATCATATATGATTCTCATTGACAGAAGAGCAGGCAGAGCACCCTGTTTATTCCTATATATTTTAAAAAGAGGAAGAAAAGAAAGAAATGTCCATCTGAAATCATGTGAATGAATGAAAAGGTTACTTTTATGGCACTAAGATTGTAGAAAGGCACCCCAGCACAAGACAGGTTACTGACTTCCTTTACAGACCTAAAAAAGGATATAGAAAGCAACTCTGTGAGTACATTTAAAAGTAGAAAGGAGGGTTAATTGTGATGTGAGAGAAAGAAACCACAGAACAAAAAGAAAAAATGACCTTTCATCGTCAAGTAATTACCTCCAGGCAGGAACTCCATGATTAGGTAGAGGTTTAGCTTATCCTGAAAACTATAGAACATTTTCACAACCCACAAACTGTCTGCCTCCACTAGAATGTCACGCTCCGCACGAATGTGGCCAACCTGGAGGTATATGCATTTGATTAATGACAAAGCTTGCTCTGCTTTATTAGATTGTATATTTGCTTAAACAATTTAAATACTGTGTTTAAATACTGTTTTGAGTATTTAATCGTGATGATACAAAAGATCCAATTTCTGCTTAGGCAAACCTACTAACTCAAAATTGACATTTGACTTGAAGGTATTCAGTGATGAAAACTTGAGTGATGAAAGGCTTTAAAAAATGGCAAAATGAATGGCTTTAATGCAAATAGCAACTTTAACATTGCTATAAACTGAATCTCTGATTAAAATTACTACTCTTCTGCATACAGTTTTGTCTAATAATCTTTTATGATAAAAATAAGTCCCCAAAGTGAGACTCCTTCCTCAGGTCTGCAATAGTATCTGCAATGACAGTGAGCTCACTGAAAATTCTAGAATGCTACGATACCACAGCATTTAGTTCACTGTTGTGAGCTCAATCAATCCTTACTGAATTGAAATATAAGAAAACCTAAGAAAAGTTGTAGATTCAAATTAATGACATTTCCAGTTTTATACTTTCACTGAAATATCTAGCTAAAGAGACCAAGTTGTAGAAAGTTTGAGAGAACTGGAATTATTTTGTTAAAGCAATGCTTTATTATCAAATTTACCTTATTTAACTTAAATGCAGAACAGTAATCAAACATCACTGCATATTATCAAATTCCCCCCCCCAAACTTTTTTTAAAACGAGATGGGGTCTCACTCTGTCACCCCGGCTAGAGTACAGTGGCATGATCATAGCTCACTGAAGCCTCAAACTCCTGGTCTAAAGTGATCCTTCTGCCTCAGCCTCCTGAGTAGCTAGGATTACAGGTGCATGCCACCACACCTGACCCCTCCCCTCTTTTTTAAGTGTCACAAGTTCTAAACTGGGTTGATTCAGATCTAAATTTATTAAGACTCAGTCCAATCCCTGAGTAGCGGTTTTGGTCTTAATATATGCTACAGGTCTTGACTTTTTACAATATGTTCTGAAGTAAAACATGTACCAAGATTCACAAATTGGCACTTCTGTTGGCAAATTTAGTCCATGGCTGTTGTTTGGTTTAATACAATGTTTGATACGATGGTTGTTTGTTTTATTGACGTATCTTTAGGGAGACAAGGCACTCTTCCATTTCAACACAGATCCCACCCTCTCCCCTGGTCTTATACCTAACTTGCTTCAGGCTTCCATGCTAACTCTTGGGGACCCAGAGGCATTTGACTTTATGTATTTGAGTTTTCAGTGTCTACTAAAATCGTTCTTTGGGGAATTTTTTTAAAAGCTGCAACTGTACAGAAAACCTACATCTTTACATCTGTACTTATGGTATTGGGGTGGGAAAAAAATGGACAATAAGGGTGAAAAGAAACAGTGCTATGAAACACAATGGGCCGGGCGCGGTGGCTCACGCCTGTAATCCCAGCACTTTGGGAGGCCGAGACAGGCGGATCACGAGGTCAGGAGATCGAGACCATCCTGGCTAACACGGTGAAACCCCGTCTCTACCAAAAAATACAAAAAACTAGCCGGGCGAGGTGGCGGGCGCCTATAGTCCCAGCTACTCGGGAGGCTGAGGCAGGAGAATGGTGTGAACCCGGGAGGCGGAGCTTGCAGTGAGCTGAGATCCGGCCACTGCACTCCAGCCTGGGTGGCAGAGCGAGACTCCGTCTCAAAAAAAAAAAAAAAAAGGAACACAATGAAGCCAAGTAAAGGATCTGCCTTTACTTGATCTTAATACAGAAGCAAAGCTTTTGGGAAACAGCAATGTTGCTTGCTGCCCCACAGCCATGGCTAGCACCCAGTCACTATAAGACATTAATACACTAGAAGGCAGCCTTCATCTGCCTGTCTCCCCTGGCTCCCATTAAGGTCTCTACCTACTGCAGGGAGCCAAAGAAAAGGGGAGGCACTACAATTACCACTTGTCACTCACCCTGGAGGACAGAATGGTGACCACAATATTTCCTGTTTGTCAAGGGGAAAGCTACTGTGAGCACACCTTGCCCTTCTCTCTTGAGGCTGAAACAGTAGCTAGAAACCTCATGGTTTGAAAGTGGAGTTGGCTGAATATAGATTAAGGGAGGGAAGAGTCTGAGGTGCAATTCATACAAAAAGGTTATCTTTCCCCTATTCCATAAATATTTAATAAGGTGGGGGGGGGGTTGTTGTTATCCTATGCCCTAAGAAAGCAGAAATAAAAGCCAGTTTTTTGTCCCATCAATAACTATATACTGGCATCACAACTGAAGGTTTTCCTTTTGCACTGGAAGAGAAACATCAGAAGCTAGCTAGATGTCATGTCTCACCCTTTAAATTTTTCCAGGTAGCAAAAATTTCCATCATGTGGAGCAGAAAAATAACCTGAACTCTCAGTGGGTAGCTTTAATTCCTACCCAGTTTATTTAGTAAAAGCAAACAAAAAAGCAATTTTACCTCTGTACCTGTACTTTGTCAGCCCTACCCCAAAATGGTGATGGATTTGCACTGGTCTACTTCCATCTTTTATCTAGCACAAACCCAATGCAGGCTTCTTCAAGATGGCTGAGCCAGGTAGAGTCTGTGGCCAGAGACTTTAACTGGCTCATAATGAGATCTGTTAAGTTGAGGAGTTGAGTCCTCAGCTAAGGTGAGCTAAACAATTTAAGCTAATGTACCATTTAATCCATAAGTTAATGCATCATTTAAAATGTTAATTATAATAGACAGTTCCTTTACTTTCATTTAGAAAAGTTTTAGAAACTGATTTTGAAGGCACAGTATTTGAGAAAAGGCTTTTTACACATTATGTCTGGACCATTCTCTGTTAGAAACCATGTGGGGCACCAGGTATACATAAAATTACTAACTCTGAAAATCATATGTACTTTGTTTTGCAGTTTTACTCTGACTGCTAACATTTGATAAAAAGAGGCCTTAAGCCTTGGTTAAAACTGTAAGAAATATATCTTGCAAAAACAAAACTTACTCATGAGATGCAAACATACTAATTAATGCAGAAGCCTTATAATTTCCTTCTCAAGATTAACTGACACTTTTTCAGTGCCTACACACCCATACCACAAACTAATTTGTAGATAGTATGTAAGTAGGCCGGCTTACTGTGAATTTTGAAAAAGGCTGGTGTTAGCATAAAGTATAGTGTCTGAAGACTTACTGCCCGGGTATTTGATACTCTCAACTGAAATTCCTGGGAGTCTAAAGCTTCTCGGTAACACATGAAAATTCGAGAGAAAATAAAAATTCCAAATTTTGGGGTGGCATTTAAATGACGACAGGGAAGACCAGTGATTGTATCTCCTCTCAAGAGGTAGAAAGGATTGGATGTGGGGCCAATCTCCATTCTTCCTCTTTGGCTCTAAATTGGGAGTTCTTATCACAGGGTCTCCATGTTCCTATAACATCAAATCTTCTACAGGACATTTGCAGTCATCACCCATCGCAATCTGTTCTTAAGCAACCAACTACATTAGACTAGATTTATAGAAAGTCTATTCTTGCTTTTTAATTTATCCTTTCCAATATTTAAAACTTTATTTATTTTGCATAAGGCACTTTATAAATCGATTTGCAAACCAGGTTTTGGTTTTAGAAAATATCCTTTATCATTAAAGGAGAATTTGCATTGTTCTGCCATTTGCATTATATTTTTCAAATTCAATCAGAAATTGGAAGGCTGGTCTTTTTCAGGTACTGATGAGCTACCTAGAAGACTCAACTTTGGTTTAGGTAAACAGAATGAAGCATATAAAGACACATTTTAGATTATAAATTCCAAATTCTAATTCCTAGTCCTTAGTTATGAGATATATATTACAATTTCTATTTCTCAGCATTTGGTAAGAAACACACTAACAACACCACGTATGACCTCAAAAAAAAAAGGCTCTCAAAATAAGGACATTTTGTGATCCATTGGAAGACACAAGTAACAGCTGCTTTTCGAACAGATTCTCAATTTTTAAAAGATTGCATATAACCTATAGGAATTATTTGTGATTTTAAATATGAACTGCTTCTTTGTAGGGGGAAAAAGGTAGTATTATATATACAGTCATACATGACAGAACTAAAGAAAACTGTAATAAAAATATATATTTCAATTAAACAAAAAGAAAAGTTTTAGGAGACAAAAATTAATAAGCTAAAGCACTGCTACCACTGTGCTTTACCTGCTCTTTTTCAAGCATATCTGCTTTACGGAGTATTTTCATTGCATACACATGTCCCGTATCTTTCTTCTGAACAAGCCGTACCTAAAAAGTTACAAAAGAAATGCCAAGTCAAAAACTCATACTACCAAGCTAATGCTTTCATGTGTTATAGGATGCAATAATTAACTGAAAAAGTATTATAATTTTAACAGGAGCAACTAGTAATAACAAAGCAGAAGAAAATGCTTTTCAATGTTCCAAAATGAATACATTATACACAGTAAAGTCGATGCTGCAAACATCCTCAAATACCTCTACATCTGAACAGCTTTGGTTCCTTAGTTGAACAAACCAATCTAATTTAAAACCTTCAATTTCAAATTTAAGGACTCATTATACCCCTGACATATGTCATCCAGTCAGCTCAGAAAATCTAAGTAAATGATTACAACGATGTTTAATTAAAACAAAAGTAGCGGTGCATGGTGTTGTATATCTGTAGTCCCAGCTATTTGGGAGGTTAAGGTAGGGGGATCGCTTGAGCTCAGGAGTTATGAGCTATGGTGTATTATGCTGATCAGGTGTCTGAAGTAAGTTCAGCATAATATGGTGAATATGGTGACCTCCCAGAAGTGGGACTGGCTGGGGGGGTACTAGGTTGCCTAAGGGAAGGGCAAACAGGCCCGGTTCAGAAATGGAGCAGGTCAAAACTCCCATGCTGATCAGTAGTGAGATCGTGCCTGTAAACAGCCAAAACTCCAGCCTGGGCAACACAGTGAGACCTTGTCACTTAATCAAAATAATAATAATAAAGTAAAACTTCATGCATAGGAAAAACGTCCGGAAAGAAAAACAAAAAATTCAGGCCAGTCGCAGTGGCTCACACCTGTAATCCCAGCACTTTGGGAGGCTGAGGCAGGTGGATCACCTGAGGTCAGGAGTTTGAGACCAGCCTGGCCACCATACTGAAACTCCGTCTTTAATAAAAATACAAAAATTGGCTGGGTGTGGTGGCAGGTGCCTGTAATCCCAGTTATTCGGGAGGCTGAGGCAGTAGAATCACTTGAACCCGAGAGGCAGATCTCGGCTCACTGCAACATCTGCCTCCTGGGTTCAAGCGATTCTCCTACCTCAGCCTCCTGAGTAGCTGGGATTACAGGCGCGTGCCACAACACCCAGCCAATTTTTGTATTTTTAGTAGAGACAGGGTTTCACCATGTTGGTCAGGCTGGTCTCGAACTCCCGACCTCGTGATCCACCCGCCTTGGCCTTCCAAAGTGCTGAGATTACAGGCGTGAGGCACCGCGCCTGGCCCTGGGGTACCAGGTTTTAATAACATACTGTTCCTTTTATACTTGCAACTATCGCATCAGTAGGTCGTCTACTTTGGGCATTTTTCATTAATGGGAATGACCTTGCATGGGCTCTTTCAAACTCTCCCCAACCAATTGCTCTTGTGCCCAAGCAGGATCATTTCCAAGAACTGTGGGGACAAAGTCGCAAATGCTTTCAAATCTCCACCACTACCTACATAACTCCTTTCTGTAAATTCTACCTCCTAGGGTCATCTTTTTAGAGCTATATCAATCTGGTGGGGAGAAATAAAGGGTGGAGATACACTGTTAATTAGTTAGTTTCCTTCTGGAGAGGCAGTGCAGTATGGGGAAAAGCAAGCGCTTTGAGTTCAGGAAATAGGGCCCAACTTTTGGTCCCAGTGCTCAATGGCTGTGTGATAACAGGACATTATATATACCTTTACAGTCTTAATTTCATCATCTATAAAATGGGTTACTGTCCTGATTATGGGGAAAAAGCAGCCTGTAAATAACAAATGTTGATTTCCTTCTACTTTTCAACTCTCCCCCTAAGTCAATATTTAAACACCAACATCATCTCTGGCAAACAGAGAACAGAGATCTGGGACCTTGGAGAGAAGAAAAAGAGAAAGCAGACAGACAAAGCAATTAGGATGTGGCGATGGCATGCCTGACCCATGTAATTCCATACATTTCAGTTATATCAACAATTACGAGTTGATGATAGGTTAGAAGCTTTGAAGTTTTGCAATTATTTTTGTACTTGACAAGTAGCTGTGATTTTTACCTCACCAAATGCTCCTCTGCCTATTACTTTTAAGGACTCAAAATCTTCCAATCCAAGTCTTGTTCTCTTCAAACGAAGAAACTCTGTTTCCTTCCGAGCATGTGCTGATCTCCGGAGTCGTTTCTAATATTTAAATAAGGAAGGGAGAAGAGGGGAAGGAGCTGAAATTATGATAACAAGTCATGTTTGTCACTTACCCAGCTGGAAAACAGGTCCACAGTGGACTAGGGATAATCTTTTCACATATGGAAGCATCCCAGAAGGACTCTTAAGAGGTCACTTCTCCATTTCCCGGCCTTTAGACACAACATCCAAGCCACACTGAACAGATGGGTGCCTCCTCTGGGAACTCTGACTAACCTACTTCAGCAATCCACTATCCTAACATTTTTGGTGAAGGAAGGGATAAATAATCAACAACATTTTCCTTTATCCTGTTTAATATAAACTAAAAATGTGTTCTTATCTTTCCCTCTGGGTTGGTTACACATTATATGCTCTAACTTTCTGTTATTTCTATAAGTATTGGGTATTTTTCACCACTGTCCTGGGTTCTGCAAGCCAATCCTATTTTCGAAGGCATTTCCACTGCCATTCCAGTTTCTTGCACAGTCCCTTGTTAACTATATTTTCTCCTACTATATCTGTGGGCACTGGGTGGAAGGGCTGATTTGAGATGGATATTTTGCCTTAATAAAGATTTCAGGAACATGACACACTGGGGCCTGTCGGGGCATGGGGGGAAAGTGGAGGGAGAGCATTAGGACAAATACCTCATGTATGCGAAGCTTAAAACCTAGATGACAGGTTGACAGGTGCAATAAACCACTATGGCACATACGTACCTATGTAATAAACCTGCACGTTCAGCACATGTATCCCAGAAAAAGTAAAGTAAATAAATATTTCAAAAACTTGCCCTACTCCTACGGAGACTTTTCAGTGAATTCTATAAAAATGCTATAACTTGCTCTTTTAAATTTTAATTTGATTTCATTCCTTCTTTCTCTTGGAATTCTAAATCTAGTTTACTATAACTGCATCTAGAGAAGCCTTCCTCTCCTAGTTACTTAATAATTAATCTGTCCCTCTGCATTAACACCCAAATCCAGAAGCACACTACCCCTCAAGTTCCTCTGTTACTGGGCCGAAACCCTTCTCATGTGTACCAAGGCTAACAACTTGCTGGACAAGATACAACCTGCCATGCTGGGTTTTAAGGAAGATACTGCCAATATTAATTACCTCTTCATCTTTTAGGCCTTCTTCTTCCATCACCTTTTCTAACTTCTTTTGTCTAAAACAAAAACAAAAGACATATGAAATCACATCTGAATAACTTTCTGAAAACTCTGTAACTTAATATTGTAATTGCATTTTAAAAATGACACAAACAGGTAAATCTCGAACTGTCTCATTAAAACCAAAAAAATTACAGTTACTAAGACAAGTAAAAAGATTTCCATCCTTTGTTAGGTCTACTTTTTTTTGGCAGGGTGGGGGGAGGAGACAGAGTTTTGTTCTGTCACCCAGGCTAGAATGCAGTGGGGCAATCTCAGCTCACTGAAAACTCCATCTTACAGGCTCAAGCAATTCCACCTTAGCCTCCCAAGTAGCTAGGACTACAGGTGCATGCCACCATACCTGGCTAATTTTTAAATTTTTTGTAGAAATGAGGTCTCACCATATTGCCCAGGCTAGTATCAAACTCCAGCCTGACCTTCCAAAGTGTTGCGATTACAGGTGTGAGCCACCATGCCCCATCCTTAGGTCTACATTTTTTAAAAGACTGTCTAAGATGTTAATGCAACAAAGAATCTTGTTTCAAAAAATGTCCTCTCTTGGTTTTGGCTTTTTTTTTTAATTTTCTTTTCAGTTATTTCCTCCTTACCAAACCACAAAACAGCTGGTATTTGATAAACTCTTATATCATGGTGTTACTTTCCCTCTCTCTGACTGAAGTCTACTTCCTTTATTTCTGCATCTTCCTCCTCCTCCCTGCCATGAGCAAAGGGTAACAAACAACAAAGGTAAAAGCAGAATTTGGAAATTTAACGGGAAAAAGTGATCAAAAAGGTGACTGGCACCACTATCAAAACATCATACATCAGACTGGGTGTGGTGGCTCATGCCTGTGATCCCAGCACTTTGGGACGTGAGGCAGATGGGTCACTTGAGGTCAGGAGTCCAAGACCAGCCTGGCCAACATGGTAAAACCCTGTCTCTACTAAAAATATAAAAATTAGGCTGGGTGCGGTGGCTCATGCCTGTAACCCCAACACTTCGGGAGGCCAAGGCGGGTGGATCACTTGAGGTCAGGAGTTTGAGACCACAATGGCCAACATGGTGAAATCCCATCTGTACTAAAAATGCAAAAATCAGCCGGGCATGGTGGCATGCCCCTGTAATCCTAGCTACTTGGGAGGCTGAGATAGGAGAATCACTTGAACCAGGGAGGTGGAGGCTGCAGTGAGCAGAGATCACGCCACTGCACTCCAGCAGTGGAGTGAGACCCTGTCTCAAAAAAAACAAAACAAAAAAATAAAACGCCAGGCACTGTGGCTCATGCCTGTAATCCTAGCACTTTGGGAGGCCGAGGAAGGCGGATCATAAGGTCAGGAGTTCGAAACCAGCCTGGCCAACATGGTGAAACCCCATCTCTACTAAAAATACAAAAATTAGCTGGGCATGGTGGCGAGTGCCTGTAGTCCCAGCTACTCAGGAGGCTGAGGCAGAAGAACTGCCTGAACCCGGGAGGCAGAGGTTGCAGTGAGTTGAGATCATGCCACTGCACGCCAGCCTGGGTGACGCAGCAAGACTCTGTATCAAAAAACATATATCTGTATCTCTCTCTCTATGTATGTACATATGTATATATGTATATATGTATACACACACACACACATATATATATAAATTAGCTGGGTGTACTGGCAGGCGCCTGTAATCCCAGCTATTTGGGAGGCTAAGGCACAAGAATCACTTGAACCTGGGAGGCAGAGGTTGCAGTGAGGCAAGATCACACCACGGCACTCCAACTCGGATGTCAGAGTGAGACTCTGTCTTGAAGAAAAAAAAAAAAACATTCAGATATCAGACTTTTGGAGTACTGAACTTTAGAAAGTGCATGCAATAATGTTTTTGATCTATAGTCTCATAAAACTAAAAGAAGCAAGTAAAACTTCCTTACAACCAATTCCACAGAACTTTCATTTACTCAGCACAATAAATGAAACTACATGGGCTAGAATCTCTCCTCCACCACTCATCAGCATTCCAGATAAACAGGCAATACATACAAACAGAGCAAAGAAGGGTAAGAGTGTACAGTATGCTGGCCGGGTGCAGTGGCTCACACCTGTAATCCCTGCACTTTGGGAGGCCAAGGCAGGCGGATCACGAGGTCAGGAGATCGAGACCATCCTGGCTAACACAGAGAAACTCCATCTCTACTAAAAATACAAAAAAAAAAAAATTAACCGGGCATAGTGGCAGGCACCTGTAGTCCCAGCTACTCAGGAGGCTGAGGCAGGAGAATGGCGTGAACCTGGGAGGCGGAGCGAGCCGAGGTCGCGCCACTGCACTCTAGCCTGGGCAACGAAGCGAGACTCCATCTCAAAAAAAAAAAAAAAAAAAGTGTACAGTATGCTGCAGAAACAGCATGTAGTCCATTGTGGCTGACACACACAGCACTTCAAAAGCCACACCAAGAAGGTTGGATCTCATTCTGTAGACAATTGAGTGCTAAAAGAGGCTTGTGTGCAAAGGAGTGATGTGATAAGATTTCTATTTTAGAATGGTAACCAGTAGTAATGAGGATCTGATGGACTGGCAGGGAAAGCAACTGAGAAAGATCAGAGGCCAGTTGAGAGTTACTGTAATGATTCAGATGTACAGTAAAGATCTGGAACTAGGGCAGGAAAACCAGAATGAAGTGAATAGAGCTATTGCAAAGATGACCAACTGACAATAGGAGTCAAGAGAAAAGCCTTAGAATTTCCTGTCTAGAGGTACATGATGCCACTAATCAAGACAGAAAATGCAGAGAAAGGAACATTAACAGTTCTCCCAGTTCCCGGAATAGTTTGGGATACATGTGCATCTATATGTACACATGTATTGGAGAGAAAAGGCTGTACTCTTAGTAGTTTCAGGAGTGTAAATTAATTCCATTGCAGTGGTTAGGTAGTTGAAGCAGAGAAGAGTAAGAAAAGTCAAAGTATAACATGCTAGGCAAAGCTCTAAGAACACAGCTGTGGTCAGCTCTTTTTGTGCCCTGAGTACTAAACACCATCACACCTCCTGACTATATGTTTTTGAATGACTACATCAGAATGGGCTACAAGTCCAATGCACTATCCACTGTGTCACAAAACTGGCTCCTTCTGATTATATTTTAAATCTAAATACAAATTAAGAGGTTTTCCACAGCTTTACTGAAGTGTAATCAAATTTGTTGCAGCAGAACGCCTGCCTGAGAGTAAAGTTAACTCCTTGAACACAATTAGATTATTTCATTAGAGAAAGTATCCAGAAAAAAAAAAAGCCTATCCATGATAATGATTAGGACCAGGTCCACAAAGACCCTGAGGACACTAAAAACAGCAAGGACAGCCTGAAATGACTTAAAAATGACATCCTCTGTGAGATGATATCAAAGGAATTACTGTTAACTTGGTTAGATTCATGGTGGCATTTGCATTATGCAAGAAAATGGCCATATTTTTGGAAATGCATACTTGAGAGTATGCAGGATTAAAATGACAGATGTCTGGAATTTACCTTAAAACACAATAGCAAGAAAAAACAAAATGGGATAGATGAAGAAAAGATACCAAAGCCCTAAAATTATTAAATCTGAGGGATGAATATATTGAAACGGGGTCACTATATTATTCTACCTATGTTTAAAATTGTTCATAGTGAAAAATAGCAGGACTCTCCACACAGGCATGTTCTCTTATAGGAGTGCCAGGTTAACACTCCAGCCTTTGGTGGAGCCACTCTTCCCTTCAATTCCAATGTTCCAAACCAGAACCCTGGGAGAGAGACCAAGTCACTTTCACACTTAGAGGCCATATCCAGCCTCACCCCAGTGATGCCTTCCATGCGTTCCATTTATTTTCGTGTGTGTTCATTTCCTGTATGAGAGAGTGGTAAGACCTTCTGAAGGCAGGGACTATATTTGAATTCCCCATCTCCACTAAGAATAGTGCTTTGTACACAGCTACTTTCTAAATGTATGCTGCTAAATTTTAAAAAGTAGAATGTATAGCAATGTGCAGACACATTCATGACCACTACTTACAATTAGCCCCCTTTTCTAATTTAGGGTCCCCTCTTAGCATAGCTTGATTCGGAGGTAGCAGGAATGAGAAAATAGGGCTATTCCACCCTAACTGAAAATAGATAGTATTTTGGTGAGACACCGAAAACCAGGAAAAATAGTGTATTTAACAGAAATAGGGCCAGGCATGGTGGCTGACACCCATAATCCCAGCACTTTGGGAGGCTGAGGCTGGCAGATAGCCTGAGGCCAGGACTTGGAGACCAGCCTGGCCAACATGGTGAAACTCTGTCTCTACTGAAAATACAAAAAGTAGCCAGGCGTGGTGGCACGTGCCCGTAATCCCAGCTACTCAGGAGGCTGAGGCAGGAAAATCTCTGGAACCTGGGAGGCAGAGGTTACAGTGAGCTGAGATGGTGCCACTGCACTCCAGCCTGGGTGACAGAGTGAGATTCTGTCAGAAAGAGAAGAGAAGAGGGGCAACAGAGTGAGATTCTGTCAGCAAGAGAAGAGGAGGGGAGGCGGAGGGGCTGTGATTATATCTCCATGATTAAAAATGCCTAAATTCAGAAAATGCCTATAAAATACTTTTTTTTTTTTTTTTTTTTTTGAGACAAGAGTCTTACTCTGTCACCCAGGCTGGAGTGCAGTGGTACCATCTCGGCTCACTGCAACCTCTGCCTCCCGGTACAAGTGATTCTCCTGCCTCAGCCTCCTGAATAGCTGGGATTACAAGTGCCCACCACCATGTCCAGCTAATTTTTGTGTTTTTAGTAGAGATGGGGTCTCACCATGTTGGCCAGTATGGTCTTGAACTCCTGACCTCAAGTGATTCACCCACCTCGGCCTCTGAAAGTACAGGGATTACAGGCGTGAGCAACCACACCCGGCCTTTTTCCTTTTTTTCTTTTTTTTTGGAGACAAGAGTCCGGCTCTGTCACCCAGGCTGGAGTGCAGGACACGATCTTGGCTCACTGCAACCTCTGCCTCCTGGGTTCAGGTGATTCTTG